GAAGTCTGAAGGAAGAGGCAGATTTTTTCCGGTTGTGTATTTTCAAATTCTAGCGCACTCGAGCTGGTTTCTCCAAAATTACCTACCCCACCTTTAAGTAAATTACCTAAAAACCTCAAAACTGGTTAATCTGTTAACCAGTTTTTAACATTTGGGTCAACAGTGCATATTTCTCTTTTATAACCTGTAAACATACTTTCTATTCACACACAGTTCTCACTTAGTGCAGGTACCTTGTTCCAGGTGACTTTTCCTCTCAATGTGGCACATGTGCGGCGGACATGATTTGGGCATGTAACCTTTTTGTTAATGTCAGAGTTATTGATAGGATCGTAGACGAATTTCTTGAGGACGTTAACTCTTAATGTATAGTTTATACACACCCCTGATGATGTGTTATGCCTAAGGGGAAGAAATAGATTGATTCAAAACCAGGGAACATGTTTACAGATCATTTCTGTGGAGAAAAGGTTGATCAAGAGTCAATTTTAGTATCCTCACCGGGCGCTGTACAATCCAGAGTCCTCGGGGAGAAGGTTTAAGAAAAAGAGAGATCCACCATGGTAATGCACGGTCTCATTTTCGTCAGAAGTGATCTCAGTCTGGTCATTATTGAACCATGTGATCTCTTCATCAGGCACGTTGATGTCGAGATAGTCATGCACAAAATTAAACGCATCCCCTTCATTAAGTTTGTAAATTTTTGTGTCAAGGTCGTAACATTTGGGCTCTGCTGTCTCTGAAAATGTGGAGAAAAGATGGAAGAGATGAGCTTTATGAAGATGATGGTATTAATCTTTCTTGGTAGTGTAAATGTACAGGTAGACCGGCTTTTCATGACTAGAGTGTTGATTAGAGTGAAGGACAAATTAATGAAATAGTTTATAAAATACGAAATGCTAGCTTTATTCTATATTTACAACAAATAGAGTGGTGCAGTAAGGATGCGTTTTTGTAGGCCTCGACAAAAAGCAATGGGATTTTAATGCACAAAAAAAGCTCCTTGGCCAACACAATCTTATAATGCTGATACAAGTTCTGGTGCCACTTTGTTATTTTTGAAGCTTAAAAGTAATCGGCAGAAGTAAAACGCTAATGCTGGGCTATAAACAAACTACAACACGGCTGTACCTGCTTTGGACTTGCACTAGCACAACAACATGTGTACTGTATATATGTATAAACAGCTTTACCTAATTGTTATTTTATAGTATACTGTTCAATCCAGCCAGTGCAGTCAAGTCAAATGCAAAACAAATTCTTCAAAATCTCTGATAATGAGGGTTTAACGTGTTTAATGTCTCATATTGATTTATGCTTTCTACTTTCGCCACATCCTCTAGGAGTGTATTAACTGGATGTGTGGGTCGATAACGTGGTTGGAGCTGAGTAAACAGATCATAATATTACCCTACCTGAACATTCAGATGTAGTTATCACCATGTAGACGAGGAGGAGAAGTCGGGAAGTGTCCATGTTCTGAGAGACAGAGTGAATTCAGAGTTAAACCACATGCTTCTGCACCACCCATACACACCGATACCATCATGAACCTTTTGAAATGAGTCTTGTACGAAATTTGCAGCCGTATGTTGACATTGCCTTTATTAAATTCCCTGGTATAGTTTATCTGTATGACCTTCTTTTGCATAGTGGATACACTAGGACTTCTTAATTACCTGGAGAATATATCTTGTGTTTTAAGGACAAAAAACATGGTTTCCTGTGTATTTGAAAGATGCCCTATTATGCCTTTTCTGGTTTTTCTTATCCTGTAGTGTGTTATATCGTTTTTTGTGAATGTAAGTGGTCTGCAAAGGCTCCCTCTAAAACAGGGGTGTCAAACTCAAATACACAGTGGGCCAAAATAAAAAAATGGGTACTAGTCGAGGGCCGGACTGGTTCAATGTTTATTGCAGAACTTATTGAAATGAACTTATTGCACATATTAAACCTGGAACTAACAAAGCTTAAATTATTGCCTATAAAAACAACATTAAACATTAAATAATCAGTTGCATTCATTTCTCATGGCTCTATCTGCAGTTTTTCCAGAGTCATTTCTTATGATTACATTTTTCCACAGGCCAACAACAGCTTCAAAAAAACAATTTCCCTCCAGATGGAAACATCCATTAAACTCAGTGTGCTGCTCTGTGATGCTAGTTCAAGCCAGATACTTGGCATCTCATCTTGGGTGCAAGGTCAATGTTTGGGGTCAGGCTCTGAGCTGAGGAGACCCTCAGGATTGAGTGAAGGTGTGGGTGAACATTAAAGCATGGAGACATGTCCCAGTAGAGGCACAGAATATAAAAATGAACCTGGAAAGGAGTCAAATATGTCGTCTTCAAAGTACACAATGCTCCAAGGATACTATTAAAATAGATCAACTAAATAATCAAACATATCATACAGTCTGTCTTTATTGATGTCTTCCACTTCTTTGCACGGCTGCTGTTTCAGGAACGTGCAATAATCTCCGGCGTAACATTAACACAGCACAACACAAATAAAAACTGTGATTACGAAACAAGTGTGGTTATTTATAGAGGAAGCCCCGGTAAACATTTGCTCTCTGTGCCACAGCTGAGACACTTTTAAAAACTCTGAATTAATGGATTTAAAATAAATGATTAATGTAAAACAAATGTGTTATTTCCTTTGCAACAGGCAGTTATGAATAATATGGAATATTTTTCTTTAATGCCAAAATGTGTTGACGAATTGCAAAAGTCACGAATGAATTGTAATGAAGTACATTACAAAAATAAGGTTCTCTTTTGTCTTAAGCTTTTAGTACCTCCGTACCGACTTAACTGGCAGTATTCTCTCTAAATACTGGTCAGCTTTCTGTCCCCAGAGTCAGAACTAAACATGGAGAAGCAGCGTTCAGTTATTATGCTCCAAATATCTGGAACAAACTCCCAGAAACCTGCCGGTCCGCTGCAACTCTGACTACTTTTAAATCCAGGCTGAAGACTTTTCTTTTTGCCGCTGCTTTTAATTGAACTATTCACATCTTAAACTGCACTGTAACTGTTATTATCTTTGCTTTTTATCTTTGCTTTTCAATGAGTGTTTTTAGATATCATTTTATAATATGTTTCTTAATGCTCTTAATGTCTTTAATTTTTGTAAAGCACGTTGAATTGCCTTGTGTTGAAATGTGCTATATAAATAAACTTGCCTTGCCTAAAACCTTGAATAAACATACTCTGTACTTCTACAGTTGAACTCCTTTTCAAAAAGACATGCAGAAGAAAAAATGAAACCGTTTGCTTACCTGATAGCGTGTGCGAGAAAACTTGAGTGGATTCAGTGAGACTCTTCTCCTCTACCTGGTTTTATGTCTCCTCTGTGAGAAGTGTGAGTGAGTAACACCATGAGAGCAAGAAAAAGCAACACACACACACACACACACACACACACACACACACACACACACACACACACACACACACACACACCACACACACACACACACACACACACACACACACACACACACACACACACACACACACACACACACTCATATGCTGTATATACTCAAACAAACATACCCACACACAAACACACACACACACACAGTGTCCATTCCTCCTCCCTCTCTCCTCCCATTTTCCTTTTCTTCTTTCTTTCACACACACACACACACACACACACACACACACACACACACACACACACACACACACACACACACACACACACACACACACACACACACAAAATGACCTCTAAATATCCCTTACGAATCCCAACAAACCACACCTCAGAAAGAAAAGAAACCATGAACGAGATAAAATATCGGTGGGTCTCATATCCTGTAACTGACTCCATAATCTTTTAAGCATAGGACATTGTGATGCGGGTGGTTCATGCCTGCTGTTGAGGAATGACGCTTCATAGATTTAGGGGGTAAACATTTCCAGCTAGGTATCAGCTGACCTCATGAGATGCCAGTAAAGGTTATTATGTCCTATACTGCCACTCATCAAAATCAACACACAACAGCGTCCTGTGGAATCTCCCCACAATGAACTAATGCTTTACAAAGCAAACAAACCACGGATACTGATTCCCGCTGAGTGAAATTAAGACAATGAGTGTCTCCACTGAATAACTAATCGACTGTAAGAGCTTTTTAACAAGGATAAAGAGATCTGAAATGGGAAGTGCTTCCACACAGTGATGCTCATTTTCTGTTCAGACGGATCAGGTTGTGGGCGACATTAATGCAGAAACACTTAAAGGCTCCACTGTTACAGTATATGGCATTCAGAGCATTAGAGTTATTTGGTTCGGGAGAACTAGGCTTGTTATTCGACGGACCTTATTTACACTCATTTGGTTCAATGGTTTTCCCTCAACCTGGTTTCCAATTCCTTAAAAAGCTTTTGGCAAAACTGTTTTTCTTTATGGTTTTCACTTTCTTTGCTTCATTTGTTCTGTTTTTAATTCAGCAGGTGAACCTATACGTTCATAAAATAGTGTGTGTGAGCTTAACTGTGTGTGTTCAACTAAAACTGAGCATTTTCTGTCAGCTCAGATTTTATTTCTGCTTTTTTAAACTGTAGTATGTGCTCATGTGTTTAATTGTTGGTGTAAAGGCTACTGCCTGAATATGCTGAATGAAAGGCAGGTTTTCCTATAAATAAAATCGTTTTTTGTTTCCATCTGTCAACCTCTCAGCCCTGATCAAATGTATGAAGGATACACACTCGTATTTTTAGCATCAGATTTCTTTTTTTTTACCCTAAAAGACCACAGCGAGGACTTGTTGATGTCGCTTATAGTGGCAAAAGGCCTGTGATTGGGGGAAGAGATAAGATGTGTTTCGATGCCCTCACTGTCAATGAATTGGTGCACAAACTAAAATATAAAACAATGGGTGCAAGTGTTTCGATGGGCGTCATGCTGCAGGTGTGTTAGGTCAATGATCAGAAGCTAAAATCCTTTTATGTCCTATAAGTTAAAAAGTTAACTTATGTCTCAGATAGCAAACTGTTCAGCCTTATATAAAAGTTACATTTGAATTAGGAACATTATATTTGCAAGTCAACGTTTAGAAAAGTTGCCAACAAACAAAATGTTTCATAGACTTGTCAAATATTACAAATAAAAACAATATTATTCGGTTATTTTCGGGTATATAGAGAATGAGGTTGAAAAAAAATGCAAGTACAGGATGTTTGAGAGAAAGTGAGATAAGTCGACAAAGATAAGAACATGTTTCTCTGGAAAGCTGAACAGGAAATATCTTTGCAAGATTCTTCGAATTTGTTGATAAGGGAGATCCTGTCACTCGCCAAGAGTGTAAGAGCACGCACTCACTTATACATGTTCTACTGGTTGAACTATATATGTAAAGTTATAAAACGCATAAACAATGATACCCTTATTAGACAAACTATGATTCAATAATGAAACATTATTGAAGGGTTACTTCAGTCTAAAAGGGCCTTTCTCTTCCCACACTTGCGTATGAAGAGTTTTTTTAGAGAACATGCATGGTTTAGGCATTTCATTTGCAATATTTTGGTTGTTGGTGAGCAAAATACTAGCTAAACATCAAGGAATGTTTAGCATGATAGCAGAAATGCCCTTGTGTGTATCAGGATCCTTGAAAAATGCCAAGGTTTCGATCCATCCATCTCACGCTCTATTGTCCCCTAACTCGAGAACAAGACCCGGAGATACAAGGTTTCCACAGCGCTTAATACAGTCCTCATAAGAGAAATAAAATACATTTAAATCACACCATAAAGTTACATATTGTTATGCACACAGTTTTTGTAATACCTTGGTTAAACTGTTTTTGTTTTAGCACCTGTTTCCTGCTTCTGGTTGTCACATGCTGCTGTTTTTCTTTTTGTAACCAAACGGTGAAGACCCGAGTCCCTGCACAACAACAACACCTCGATTAGGTTTGCTGGTGTAGGAAAGACAGGCAAAATCACTTCAAAAACGTCCTCAACTTCATTATTTCCTGATTTTTCCAGCTTCCCCAAGAGATGGGATTGGCCAGAAGTGTAAGGCTGAGGATCGAAATGAAGTTTCCAGGGACGTCATACCCTCACAATTAAATAGTTTAATCTGCGTTTCATTAATGTTTGTACAAGTGGAAAAGCCTCACCCAGTGACTGATCCAAATGTGGGTTTCAAATGACGTTCGATTGAATGAATTTGGTCATGTTAAGCAGATTCCCACTAAATAGTTGGCTCATACTGTATAAGTCTAAACAAGCTGGATTCCAGAAAGCTGGAATAGAAAAATCAGAAATTCCTGGACATCACTTCTCAAGAACCAGGCTGACGAATAAATACTTTTCCAGAAACCATGACTTTTTAGGCAAAAGTGGTAAATAACACCCTTGGATGATATGAGGCAGAGAATAACTCAGTAATAATGAAATACAGGTTGATATCAGTGTTGAGTAAACATCCTTTCAAAACGTATTACACATTGAGTCTATAAACCCTTTTCTAAGGTGGCTGACAGGTGCCAACACACTACAACGGCCCAAAACATTTCCATTAGGAGAAACCCGCAGCACAAATGTGCCAAAACAAAGCAAATGAAGAAACATCTTCACCAACTTCACGGAAAAACATTGCAAGAAGCTCAAAACAGAAACAGCTATGCTGTTCTTGGAAGGTGTATTTCTTCTTCTTCATTAAGCCCATGTCCAGGTACAAGGACATTTTTAAATAAAGACTGTCTAATGACTTGAATATATACAAAACACGCATCATATAAATATAATAGTACATTACACTGGTAAACTGTTGAGTAATGTGAACATAGCTGAAAGTCTGTAACATGTTGAGCAGATTTGTTTAAGGAGTTTGAATCCAGGAAGAAATCCAGCAGATGTCTCTCTGGGTTGCATTCAGTGTGCAACGAGCCAGGCTATCAGTCTTGTTTGTTTACATGAATCATGTAACCTAACCTAACAAACCGATCCAGGATGTCTTCTACGTCAAAATAAGTATTCCCAGGAAACAGGCATTTAAACAATGGTGTGGAGTTTCCCTGAAGGCACTGAGGGCATGTTGTACCTCAGACTCTTCCAGAAGTTTCTGTTGGAGCGAAACTTGATACATGTGTTGGTTTTAAGGGAGGGTTTCTTCCACTTCAAAGCTCCTTGTTTCCTCTTGATGTAGCGCAGAGACTCCGGAAGGCATCTGTAATCCACCGAGCCTAGAGGAATACAATAAAATGTTGACCATATATTTAAATAAAGATATTCATACATTTACATGTTTACTTTAGCAAACCTTTACAATGATTAGAGAGACCACTTTAGCATGTTTCATAATGACACTTTTCAGAGCTCCTGGTAATTGCAGTTTTTAGTTTATAGCAATAGTGGAAAAAGTAATCTGATGCTAATTTAATTAAAAAATAAAGAAAAAAGCTCTGGTTAGCTGGCAGGTTCTGTTGTGATTGGTCAACCGCTTAGAGATGTCCTGCCTCTTAGCCTATCACGTACAATGTGTTAGAGTGCTAGCCAATAGGAGCGCAAGTGTTAAATACTGTATAGCTGTCACTCTGTTACGGAAACAAAAGAGTCCAATGGAGGCATTTCAGGCATTCAAAATGTTACTTAAGTAATGCAGCAAAACATACTTAAAGGTGGGGTAGGTAAGTTTGAGAAACCGGCTCGAGATCGCTAGAATTTGAAAATACACAACCGGAGAAAATCATTAACCTTTTCCCATGTCATCACATGGCAATCCCATTCATAAACCAGTGGGAGTGTCATGTTGTAACTGGGTTTGTATCGTATGAATCACAAGGCACCGCATCGTCTGTGATCAAATGAAACTATTAAAAATATCCTACAAACTCCTGACAATCACTCATACCTCACTCTGTGTCAATTACATAATAGATACTGTATGTAGGTGTTTAATTCAGTTTCTGTTCAGAGAGGGAAGATTAGTCAGTGCTGTGGTTTACATTTAAAGTTGTAATGAAGTTGCCCTGTGGAGATTTATTGGAAAAAAACACTGTTGAGCATCTCTCTCCAAAATGCAGATATTTGAAATGTACTTAAGAAAACCAATCACTTTTTTTGCAATTGCAATTGCTGCGTTCCTTAGTTCTGCATTCAAGGACACTCTTGCATTCGACATTCCACAGGCCCCAAAAGATAAACTGCTAACTAATTTGGTTAAACTGACTTTTCTCATTGACCAAATATACCGCATAATGAGCTGTTGTTACGTATTGCCTCTCACACTTTTGGGTAATTAAAACAAATTAGGTCCACCAAGAACTTTTCGGATGTGTAATTAAAGGTGGGGTAAGTAATTTTGGAGAAACCAGCTCGAGATCGCTAGAATTTGAAAATACACAGCCGGAAAAAATCTGCCACTTCCTTACAGAGCCCCTCCTCCAACACACACGAACGCGCACATGACCAATGAGGGCACGAGATAAGTTTGTGCACGGATGGAAGGCTGACAGGCAGGTAGGCCATCCAGTTATTTTAGCCGGGCCGGCTAAAATGATTGGTCGTGCTTTTTACAGCGCTACGGCTTCCACAGATGACATTTTGTTATGGATTTTTTGTCAAAGCACTTAAGATATTCATTGCTATCGGGATGTTAAGAGCATTCCATGGAATATAACAAAAAGTGTATCTCGAGCCGGTTTCTCAAACTTACCTACCCCACCTTTAAATACCAAATCATAAAGTACTGATTATCCAAGGTGGCCATTTTCGGGCAAAATATTTATTATATAATTTGGCAGCTGTTAAAGGATCTCCACCCAACAGTGAACATCCTGTGTGTGTGTGTGTGTGTGTGTGTGTGTGTGTGTGTGTGTGTGTGTGTGTGTGTGTGTGTGTGTGTGTGTGTGTGTGTGTGTGTGTGTGTGTTGTGTGTATGTATTTTGTATTCTGCATTTTGTATATTTTGTAAGTAATTGCTGTCGTCTCATTTTTCTTTTTCTTATGTACTTCTACAGTAGTAATAAAATGTTGTGCTTTTGGTTGTACATGTTGTGTATTAAACGATACAAATTTGATCAAAAAAAAAAGTATCTCCATCCATAAGAGTACATGTGTGTATTAGTTTATTAAACATTTTTTATGAATGATATAAACCTGATTCCTTACCGATTTCCACCAGAATGACTCGGGGCTCGTTGCGGGTCAGAGCGTCGTGGACGCCGATTTTCTGCTCATAACACAGCTGAGTTTGGTTGTCACACAGGGTTTCCACTTCCTCCGTTTCGCCCTCAGTGGAGGATCTTATGTCTGGTGACAGGATGATAATCAACCTGTGGCATCGGCGCACCATAGCAGCGATGACGTCATGCACCGCTGCAAGAGATAACACAGGAAACAGAACAAATTCAGCTAAAGGCCAAATATTTGTTTTTCGAATGCAAGAGTGTCCTAGAATGCAGAACTAAGGAACGCAGCAATTGCAATTGCAAAAAAAGTGATTGGTTTTCTTAAGTACATTTCAAATATCTGCATTTTGGAGAGAGATGCTCAACAGTGTTTTTTTCCAATAAATCTCCACAGGGCAACTTCATTACAACTTTAAATGTAAACCACAGCACTGACTAATCTTCCCTCTCTGAACAGAAACTGAATTAAACACCTACATACAGTATCTATTATGTAATTGACACAGAGTGAGGTATGAGTGATTGTCAGGAGTTTGTAGGATATTTTTAATAGTTTCATTTGATCACAGACGATGCGGCACCTTGTGTTTCATACGAGACCAACCCAGTTACAACATGACACTCCCACTGGTTTATAAATGGGATTGCCATGTGATGACATGGGAAAAGGTTAATGACTGGTGCTGTGTGTGTGTGTGTGTGTGTGTGTGTGTGTGTGTGTGTGTGTGTGTGTGTGTGTGTGTGTGTGTGTGTGTGTGTGTGTGTGTGTGTGTGTGTGTGTGTGTGTGTGTGTGTGTGTTCCTGACCTTCTCCAGGGCAGTCGTCTCGTCCTCTGATGAACAGCGAGTAGCCGTGTTTCTCCATCTCCTTCGGCAGGATCTGCAGGGCGAAGTTTGCCGTTACATCTGAAGTGAGCGTGTCTGGATGGAGGAAACTCACATAGGCGTCGTAAAGCTTCCCATCTGAAACTGTAGAGGGCACTATGTAACAATTGCGCTTCTATTGGCTAGCGCTATAACACATTGTACGTGATAGTCTAAGGGGCGGGACATCTCTAAGCGGTTGACCAATCACAACAGAGCCGGCCAACTAACCAATCAGAGCAGACTGGGCTCTGGTTTCAGACAGAGGGTGAAAAGAGGTGCTGCAGCACAGGCAGTATGAGAGAAAAAAAGAGCTTTTTGAACATTAGAGCATGGAGACATGTCCCAGTAGAGACACTACATACTAATATCAACCTGAAAATGAGCATAATATTACCTGTGTGCAAAAGTATTAAATCCCCATGGAGTCCTGTTTGTGGCCTCATGTTTATGTCCTCCTTAATTATTCATCGTTAATGTGAAGTACCTCCTGACAATGTTAACATTTTGTATGGTACCTAAGTTGTGTTCATTCCATAAGGCTGACACATTATTTACGTCTTGTGCAATTTGGGTAAACAAGAGATTTCCAGGTAGTCAGATGATTCCTCCTGAAAAGCACCTTCAACAAACACTTACTTTGTTGTTTGGAGAAATGTCTCAAGACTTTCCTGTAGGCCAACACCAGATCCACTTTAAAGAAGAGGAAGGCAGCGACAGCGAGGGAGGCTGAGATGCAGAGAGAGACGCTGGTGTAGAGCGCACTGTGGTCCGCTGGAGGGAGGAAACATTCAAACGTTCACACATGTAAACCAAACAAGAATAAACAAGGACTCCGGGAAGTCTTTCATGAAGGATCAATTCTGTGGAGGTTTGTGTTGAGAAGTAACCAATGAAAGATATGTAGGAATGTTTAAGAGATGCCTTGAATGGTTAAAAATGACTACTAAGAAAAGAGAAAAACTAAAGACTTGAAAAACACTAAAACAAGTACAAGGAGATGCAAAACAGCTGCAAGGAGACACAAAGAGCTTCACAACAGTTATGAAAAAGGAAACCACAAAGACTACGATAAGGTTCCAAATATCCACAGTTAAAAAAAAAGAAAAAAAAGACCAAAACAATTACAAAGTTACACCAAAAAAAAAGACCACAGAGACATACAACCACAGAGAGATGTGTAGCAACTACAAAGACACACACAATCACAACAAAAAGAAGCAAAATCACTAACAAGTCTGTGTGTTTTGCTCCGGGCGAGACTCAAAAGTATTAAAAAATATTTGGGTCCACATATACAGTAGTATCTATCCAAAAGTAATGTATGTCACAGCTGAAACCATTTGTGTTTTAATGTGTTGTTTATAGTTTTAAATTCCTTTGGGTTGGCATTGTCTCATTGATATTTCTGTGTAATTATTGATAGAAATGGAGAAAAAGAGAAATAAATACCTTCTTGAAGCCTCGCCACACCACATTTACGTTCAAGAGTGGTCCGTACGCAGCAGGAAATGGGGACATTGATGAACTGACGGTGAACTTCTGAAATGGACAGGGTGGACAAACCGAACACTCTGCCTTCTTCCCTGAGACTTGAAGGAAAAGGAACAGTCATACAGTTATCGATCAGTTAAAATGTCGTCTTCATGCTTTTCTTTTTCGTTTATTCTGCTTATGATTTTTGGGGTTCTCCCTTTCCTGTAGTTTGTTATATAGGTTTTTTGTGCATGTAAATGGTCTGCAAAGGCTACAATCCCAAAGTTCTCTCCAGAGGAAGTTTCTCTCCCACACACTGCCCCCCTGCCTGAAACGCCTCCATTGGACTCCATTGCTTACTTTTGTGAAATAGTGATATCACTTTGTAACACTTGCGATCCTATTGGCTAGCACTCCGACACATGGTACGTGATAGGCTAAGAGGAGGAAAATCTCTAAGCGGATGACCAATCACAACAGAGCCTGCCAGCTAACCAATCAGAGCAGACTGGGCTCTGGTTTCAGAAAGAGGGTGAAAAGAGGACTCTTTAAAGTAGAGACACTACATACTGATATACACCTGAACATCAGCAGGAGAGGACTCTTTAAAGTAGAGACACTACATACTGATATACACCTGAACATCAGCAGGAGAGGACTCTTTAAAGTAGAGACACTACATACTGATATACACCTAAACATCAGCAGGAGAGAACTCTTTAAAGTAGAGACACTACATACTGATATACACCTGAACATCAGCAGGAGAGGACTCTTTAAAGTAGAGACACTACATACTGATATACACCTGAACATCAGCAGGAGAGGACTCTTTAAAGTAGAGACACTACAGTACATACTGATATGAACCTGAAAATCCACAGAATATTCCCTGTGTACAAAAGTATTCGAGATTGTTGCCTCATGTTTTTACTTATCCAAGAAACGTGCTCATTGACAGTCTTATTTAATTACTAAACAAATTAGTGTTGGTAATGATTTTACAACTAGTCAAGAAGGTTTTATGGGCTCAACTTGTTTTGATTTACAGCATCCTGAACATGGTCTTCATGAAATAACATAACGGGAAAAACTAAACTCACGATTGCCAGGAATCACTGAGCTGCGTAAAATCGTCAGTCGAAATGTTGTCGACAGTCCAATACATGTAGGTGTCGTGCTCCTCACTAATGCCGATGTAGGCTTTACATTTCAGCTCCGCTGTCGTACCTGGGCATCAGAGAGAGAAACAAACAGCTCATCATACTCATATCACAAAGTGTCACTGAGAGGAGAGGAACTCTTTACATTCACTGTAATAAGTTGCTGAAATAAGTCCTTGAATACTTTTACATTTCAAAAAGACTCGTAAGTTGACATGGACAAAAACAACTAAACAAATAATGTTTCTCACGCTCACTAGCTGTTTTAGTTTTTCTGTCCATGTCCCATTGGGGGTTCCTCCTCCTATCATTAGGAATTAAAGATGTCTGACAAGTTAACGCTCAGAAAGAAAGCTCAAACTAAGGTTGGAATTGTTTTCCAACTGGATTGTTATAAGTGACAGTGATATTTTCACACATCTCAAACCTGAGAGACATACAGTATGTGTGTGTTAGTCTGAATTTTTTAAAGAATGACACTTACCCTCTTTAACCACGACGACATCCTGTTGAGGGTAAATCACCTCAGGCTTGACTGCAATCTCAATATCTAAAGACACATAATCATTGTAAAAGAAAACACAATAAGAAGGAAAGGCCAGTCATCTCTGAGAAGGAGCCACGGGTAAATCATTACATTACATGTTACTTGTTAGACGCTCTTATCCAAAGCGACTTACATACTCAATACTGTGGGCAATCCCCACAGGAGCAATTTGGGGTGAAGTGTCTCAGGGACACAACGACATGCTGATTGCAGTGGGGTTTGAACCTGTGACCCCCTGATCCGAACACCAACGCACAACCCACTGCACCACACGCCTCCCAAATCAGAGAAAACTAAATGAGTGAGTGTTACTTATTGACTTTCACAACCCAAAATATAAGCATGTTGTGTAAGGGATAATCCTTAACTTTTGAAATACAGTTTTATTTTTCAGATAAATGGCATCACTAATAATATAGAACATTTACATAATAATGAAAGAGTTCTCTTGATAAAAACAAAAGCATATTGATGTCTAATCAGGATATAAGGACATATCTTCAGGCTGGAGTGACCTTACTTACTTTTGAAAGCCAACCGTATGCTGCGTGCCGCCGTGAACTTCCTGCCGTTGAAGGTGACGTCTACCATGCAGGTATATTTCCCAGCATCGCTCTCTGAGGATCCATTCAGTCTCATTAAGCCACGCTCCTCTACAGAGATGTACCTCTGCACTGGTTCGCAGTCCTGGAGTGAGGACAAGGACAAGATTTTATTTAAAGAGGGCCCTTTTATTCTTTTTGAGGTGTTCCCTTTCCTGTAGCAGTCTGGTTTCAGACAGAGGGTGAAAAGAGGTGCTGCAGCCCAGGCAGTATGAGAGAGCTTTTTGAACATTAAAGCATGGAAACATGTTACATAGAGACACTAAATACATAATGTGAAACCTAATCATTTGCAGAATAGGGCCTCTTTAAAGAGCACTTTCCAAAAAATTGAAGTGCCTCATACAAAGCAATACATTTAAAGTGAATGATAGTAAAAGCAAACACGTCATTTGAACAAGAGGGGACCTGTTTTATGCGTGAGACAAAGACACAGTTGTATGCCTTGATGAGACAACCTAGGCAAGGCAAGGCAAGTTTATTTATATAGCACCTTTCAACACAAGGCAATTCAAGGTGCTTTACAAACATGAAAGACATTCAGACAAAGGCATTTAAAAACAGTCATTAAAAAGAAAAGATAATAAAAGAAACATTAAAAGAAAAAATACATGAATAAAAAGTACATGAATAAAAAGTACATGAATAAAAATGTACAGTGCAGTTTAAGATATGAATAGTTCAATTAAAAGCAGCGGCAAAAAGATAAGTCTTCAGCCTGGATTTAAAAGTAGTAAGAGTCGTAGTGGAGCATAATAACTGAACGCTCCCATAAAACTCCCATAAAACCACAAATGATTTTTACACTGTTTTAGTATATAGTATATACTACAAAAATAAGCTTGATAATACACATATAATTGTTTTATGATCTACTGTACTGTACATATAGTTTATATACAACAACAGCACAACTAAATGAACCAATGTCAACATCATTTGGATGTAGGGAAGATGTTTGGTATACATGTTCCTGATGTGCACAACAGGGGGCAGTGTTGCATTTTTCAAGCAATAACGTACAGGACATGATGCAGTAATCCCAAAACGTTTTGTGTTTTTAAACCATGAATAAAGAATAAACGTTGTCCCTAAAAATGGGGGACAACGTTTATTTATTTATTTTAGTTGCTCTTTTCATTTCTATGCTTTCACTGATTGGTAATTTGTACTAACTTAAGACTAAGTTCAAAGAAAATAAACATAGAGCACATAAAAATGCATTTAAAAAAAACACATGGATCTGTGCATACCTTCAGCCATCGTGTATTCGTTGTGGTTTTCAGATTGAAAATCTCTGGTTGTTTGCAGGGAACACCATCATTGACTCCCGCAGAGATGGGTTTGGTTTCAGGAACTTCAGGACACTTTTCACTGGACACTGACAGCCCGATGGTCACACCAGTCTCACCCCTGAAGAGGAAATAAACTGTGAGGCAGATTCAGGACAGGCCAACCTAAACTCTAGCAATAACAAAATGTACACATCTTGTTTATTTGAAGAAAAAAACAACTACTGTAACAAAGACAATTACTGGAGGAATGATTAGAAGACAGTTATAGATAGATGTTCCATTATATAGTTTTACTTTGAATCCGTAATGATGAATAAATAAATACAACTGTATTTGTAAACAGCCTTTCAAAATAAAGTTACTAAATGCTTTACGGGGTTGGAGCCAAGACTAAAAACATTACAGGACTCAGGCCTGTTAAAATCAGATAAATTAACAAATTAGACAAGTTTGAAAAGAAGCAGAGTGCTTAAGACTCTTTTGAAAAGAGATTTCTGGAAAAGAGATTTAAAATATGATGTTATACTGATTCTAAAATCTTAAAGGGGCCTTATTTTGTTAATCTTTGGGTTCATAATTGTGTTTTGTGTCTCCACTGTCACATGTCTCCATGCTTTAATGTTCAAAAAGCTCTTTATTTTTCTCATACTGCCTGTGCTGCAGCACCTCTTTTCACCCTCTGTCTGAAACCAGAGCCCAGTCTGCTCTGATTGGTTAGCTGACCGGCTCTGTTGTGATTGGTCAACCGCTTAGAGATGTCCCTCCCCTTAGTCTATCACGAACCATGTGTTGGAGCGCTAGCCAGTAGAAGCGTGAATGTTACATAATGATGTCACTATGTTCAGGAAGTAAATAAAGGAGTCCAATGGAGGTGTTTCTTAGAGGGAACACGGGGATTTTAGCCTTTGTAGACCATTTACATTGAAAATGAAACCCAAAAAGCATAATAGGGCCTCTTTAAGACCCTCAGTTAGGGAAATACAAAGATGAGATCTGCCGTAAGATCTCATTATAGGGCTCGATTGTTGATATCATTTAAGTGGACAAAATATTAAAACCCAAGTCTATACTTCACAAATTTAGATTCAGATTCAGTCTAATCTACTTCGTCACACAAAAAAGGTTCTTTTACCATTTCTCACAGGTATACGATCCATTATGAGACATCTGCACAGGTAGGAAACAGAGTAACCCGTCGATGACCTCCACTCCGGACGGCAGGCTCAGGTTGTGCCCCCCCCCTCGGCTCCACGTCACGTTCGTGTGTTTGACTTCAGGAGGGCACCGCAGCACAAAGAGGTAACCAGCACTCACATGGTAGGTGTCTGCCTCCCCACTGAGTTCTGCATGGGACAGTGCAAGGGGGGACAAGTCATTAAAGGTCACCTGTTATGCAAAATCCACTTTTTCGTGTCCCTTCTACATCAACATGTGTCCCCTCTGTGTAAAGAGATTCTGAAAGTTTCAGGAAAAAAGATTCTCTCACTTTTTGTCCTGATCCAAAAACGTGTCTGAAAATGAGCTGATCAGATTTTGGCCACTTTATGTCATAACGATGTTTTGGCTTGAGTAACCATTAGCCAATCAGCAACCAAGGTAACTCTTTTTGGTGTGAACGCGACATAAGGGGTACTAACGGAACTAAACTCACTAAAAAGTACGGTGAAAAGTACTCCGGTGTGAACACGGCTATTGTGTTCTTTTTAACCAAATATCTCTCAGAGGGGCGTGGCTCCTTATTTTCATCAAAAGTAACAGACAGAGAATTTTTGAAACAGAGCTGAAACAGAGGGGATGATGGGATGCTGCAATGATCTGTTTGGTGTTTGGAGCCAAACACTTCAGAGACGTGTTTTTATATATCTGAGACCTATAATATATTGATGAAAAACAGTATAATAGGGGACCTTTAAAACACACTTGGTGTAGATATACAGTCTATGGTTTAACCCAGATTTCAGATGTAAAATCATGTTCAGCAGACCTCTCATAGCCAATCCTGGAATAATTCAATAAAAATAAAAATAGTTAATGGCCTTTTCAAGGAGCAGTAAGTTATTTGAATCAGGAAATGTGTTTTTGAATGAATAAAGACCAATTTCAGGCTTCTTCTAGGATTCTTTTATTATTATTATTCTAATCAGAGGTGGGAGAAGTACTCAGATCTTGTACTTCAGTAAAAGTACAAGTACAAGAGTGTAGGAATACTCTGTTACAGTAAAAGTCCTGCATTCAAAATGTTACTGAAGTAAAAGTAGAAAAGTATTAGCATCAAAATAAAGTTAAAGTACCAAATGTAAAAGTATTCATTGTGCAGATTGGTCCATTTCAGAATAATATACTGTATATGATATGTTTTATAATGATTGATCATTAAAGTTTGATCAAAGCTGGTAAAGGTGCAGCTAGTTTGAATTACTTTGTATATTGCAGGGTAGCGCTTGTGAATTTACTCCAGGTGGAACTAAAGTCTGATTAAAAGTACACCATTTACCTCTGAATTGTAGTAGAGTAGAAGTACAAAGTAGCATAACATGTAAATACTCAAGTATCTCAAAATTGTACTTAAGTCCAGTACTTGAGTAAATGTACTTTACTTCCCACCTCTGATTATTTGTACTTTGCTTGTTTCTCTCACGAGATCTGGCAACACTCGGGCTATTTTATCCATGGATGCAACATTAAGACCATGTGCAAAACCCGAAGTTAGTGCAAAGAAAACAAACCACAGGCTGGTTGTAAAACCGAAGCAAATGAAGAAACACGCGGCAAAAACATTTGAATAACCGAAAGTAAGGACATGAGGAGGATGAAAACGGCAAAGTTACCCAGGTTTGGATTTGATATCGATGCAAGTAAAGAGTTGTCTGAGGAGCCTGGGGAGTAACATGGCGGTGGATACCTCTGCACACAGGAGGGCTATGAAACCCCAGGTAAGACAGCTGACTTTCAGCCAGCTTTTTGTGTGTTTGTTTGCTGCAGTTATTTGGCCATGGGGGAATGTGTTTGTGTGTGTGTGTGACTTGCTGGGTGAGCGGGAGATTTACTTTCGAGAATCCTTAAGAGATAGGCTATAGCTAGCTAGCTGTTAATGTGATGTTACTTTCTAAACACACTGCGATATTGACTTGATTTGGATTCTTATGACATTTATTTTTATGTGCAAAAAGTATTTTTTATTGTTGATCTCATTGTTCATTTTGATTGATTTATCCGTCAAATATATCTGCAATTGTATGCAGAAGCTTTTCCTAAGTCTCGTGTTTTGCTGTCATCTGCTTGCTGTAGGTTTTATTTCACTTATTTGCTGGCACAGCCCCACCTAGTGTCAGCAGAAAGTATTACAAATAATGATTACAAAAATGCAAAAAATAAAATAAAAAAATATATAAAATATATTTTAAGATCATGTTTAATCATCTGATTCGTCTGTACATTGCTGTTTTAGTCTGTGTTCTTCTAATTAGTGTGTCTACAGTCACAGTGTGTGCCTATTGAGCTGTTTAGAGCCATGTGGGACAAAACCTGATTATGCCCCTTCCTCTCGCTGTGAAGTCAACGGTGACTGTAAAAACTTCACTGCGCATGCTCAGAGTATTTTGTAATGAAATGTGTGTGGCAAAAAAATAATGACCAGAGGGGCACGGAGCTACCATCCCCACCATACGTCATCTCAAATCATTCAGAGCTGATTGGCTGTAAGTACGTGTGCCGCGAAAAGTGTGCTGTGTGAAGAGGAGACGAGAGAGCTGCAGTGACGCGTCCTAAAACCAGGAAGTAAGCACAAAAAAGCAATGAGATTTCTCCAGAGGATTTTAGAAAATAGCTCGAAATAAGATCTGTGGGAAACGTACCTGTTAGATAAATGCACGTTTTGATTAGCCGGATAACATCCACATGTCTACCCTACTTATATAATTTTTTTATCATAAATCTATGGATTAGATTTATGATAGACTTTTGAAACTACAAGAACATAAGGAGGACTTTTACAAAAAAGTAATAGAAATGTTTGTCCAGAAGGATAGGCAAATGGACTTCATCTTCAAGTCAAGGTAAGACCGCCATTTTATTGAAAATGGGATCTTACCAAGAGAGAACAATTCAATATTTAAATGATAAAATGACATTTTTTGGGTATCCTTTTGTTGAACTGTCTGTTTAAAATTAATCGAAGCATCAGACAAAAAAAGCTTTTGAAAATAATATTATATTTTGGTTTAGGTCAAAATATAATATTTGTAAACCTGAAGAGTCAGTGCCAGTGCCTCACCAGCCATGAACCTCACTGCACGTCACTGCAGAAGCTTATATATAGACATCTAAGTTTTTTGTGCCCCACCACTTTTGTACATATAAAAACGCCACTGGTTGTACTGCTTTGTTTGTTAGGTTACATCTAGTTTTGGATTACAGATCTGTAGGCAACGGTGCAATTCAGGTCTGATAGTAGGCAGACAGTTTGCTATAGTAGGATTTGGACTGGAAATCCCAGCATGCTTTATGACTGTTCACAGGAAGTCTTCAGCAGAGGATGGATGATTTACAGTCTGGTTTACCTGCAGCATGTTGCATTACTGAGTCAATCCTGTTTGGACACATATTTGCAATGCCTAATGTTCACTGCTGATTTAGAGGCAGCCATCTGCAATGTTTGTGTGTCGTCATCCAACTATCTGTAGGCAGTGGCGACTGGTCATTAGGGGCAGGTGGGGCACAGCCACACCTAGTGTCAGCAGAAAGTATTACAAAAAATGCAAAAAATAAATATAAAATATATTTTAAGATCATGTTTAATCATCTGATTTGTCTGTACATTGCTGTTTTAGTCTGTGTTCTTCTAATTAGTGTCTACAGTCACAGTGTGTACCTATTGAGCTGTTTAGAGCCATGTGGGACAAAACCCGATCATGCCCCTCCCTCTCACTGTCTAAGTCAGGGGTGTCAAACTCAATTTCATCGCGGGCCACATTCGCATAAAGGTTGAACTCAAAGGGCCGGTTGTAACTATATAAATATATAAAATAATGTATTATATTACATTATTGCCTCTGAATTGGATTATTATCGGATAGGATAATAACTTAGTAATTAACTACGTCTGAAAGCAGAAGTCCAGGGCAAATGATTGCAAGTCTCTTCAGTGCGCATGTCACAAAATGAGATGCATTGTGGGATGTAGTTTATGGACAACCTGCTTCTGTAAAGTGGCATGTAACTGTATAATAAACGTATTATATTATTTGCAAGCTCTTGCGGGGCCACATAAAATGAAGTCGCGTGCCGGATTTGGCCCCCGGGCCTTGAGTTTGAGACCCCTGGTCTAAGTGAATGGTGACTGTAAAAACTACACTGCGCATGCTCAGAGTATTTTCCTATTTAATGTGTGTGGCAAAAAAATAATGACCATAGGGGCACTGAGCTGCCATCCCCACCATACGTCATCTCACATAATTCAGAGCTGATTGGCTGTAAGTAGGTGTGCCGCGAAAAGTGTGGTGTGTGAAGAGGAGACGAGAGAGGTGCAGTGACGCGTCCTAAAACCCGGAAGTAAGCTGCGCATGGCTTCCCTCGACAAAAAAGCAATGAGATTTCTCCATAGGATTTTAGAAAATAGCTCGAAATAAGATCTGTGGGAAACGTACCTGTTAGATAAATGCACGTTTTGTTCAGCCGGATAATATCCACATGTCTACCCTAATTTTATAATTTTTGAATCATAAATCTATCGATTAGATTTATGATAGACTTTTGAAACTACAAGAAGATAAGGAGGACTTTTACAAAAAAGTAATAGAGATTTTTGTCCAGAAGGATAGGCAAATGGACTTCATCTTCAAGTCAAGGTAAGACCGCACTTTTGTTGAAAATGGGATCTTACTAAGAGAGAACAATTCAATATTTAAATGATAAAATTACATTTTTTGGGTATCCTTTTGTTGAACTGTCTGTTTAAAATTAATCGAAGCATCAGACAAAAAAAGCTTTTGAAAATAATATTATATTTTGGTTTAGGTCAAAATATAATATTTGTAAACCTGAAGAGTCAGTGCCAGTGCCTCACCAGCCATGAACCTCACTGCACGTCACTGCAGAAGCTTATATATAGACATCTACGTTTTTTGTGCCCCACCACTTTTGTACATATAAAAACGCCACTGTCTGTAGGCTATATAGGGACTACAGGCCACAATCTGTTTGATGGCAATGTATGTTCATGGTTTATCTAGCTATGGATTTAAGGCCTACTGGATAGTGTTTCTCTTCATTTTTGTTCAGGTTTCACTCTTAGTTGTGTGTAAAACCAAACTTTGAATATCAACATGGTTGCAGAATGGTAGGATTCCTATTTCTTGCTCTGTAGTGTTTGAGCCAAGTTATTTTTAAGGAAACACCTTATGTTTCACCTTTCTTTTAAATAACTATCTTAAGCCTCCTATGTTAAGCGTGCGTTGTGTTGCATAACATTAGGTGAAGAATTTCCTTTTTAACGCCATGCTGACGTCTTTCAAGCAAGGGACTTTCTGAAGTTTCAATCTTAACTATTCGACCTATAAACAAAGGTGTCAGACTGAAAGAACATACTCACCTTACAAACTTTTCCACTCTAACATCTTTTTATATCTTGAGGTAAATGTAGTTTCAGGCCTGTTTTGAGACAGATACAGTATTTAACCTGTTGGCTAGGCAGCTGTTTATGTTTTCAGATTGTCCTATTGATGGCCGATAGCCCGATAGGAGAAAAATGTGCTATAATGCATCAAGTTAGTGTTTTTTGCAGCCTAGTTTAGGATGGTTGATTATCTTAAATGTGTTTTTTTTATATAGGAATGAAGAAACCAACGTTTGGTGACACACACAACAGTGTTTCCCTACCATTATAAGACTTAAAACATAACAAAATAACTAACATTATCACCAGAATGTGATAAAGTCACAGTGTTGACGTTTTGTCACAGAGCACTGAATAGATCTCTTCAAATGAAGTCAATTGAACCTTCCCTAGGCGTCAGCCGTTCCTTGTCAATTGAGTTGCTCTTAGAACAAGTAACAGGAAAATGTATATTGAAACACCTTACAAATGTTCAGCTCCCACTGATGCAGTTGCATGTGGCTAGCGGTTAGTTAGGACACATTGCAAAAGTAAACATTGTCGCGGTTCACTGGTCCATGATTAATGTCAAACCTCGTATCGCACCTATGGTTATTGTAGAAAGTGAGAGGACACAGACATAACTTTATATACATACCTATACCTACTAGGGATGGGAATTTGAAAGCAAATGTATATTTGAATATTCGACCCCCAAAAAAACGGTTAACCGATTAACCGAAATGTACATATCCTATAAAAATAAAAAAAATGTGGGAAAAATGTTGACAAAAAATAAAAAAAATAAAAAAATACATGTTCAAATAAATATAGAAAACCAAGTCGAATTTGTCAAATGTGTTGAACTGGTGATCACAGTTTGAACAGTTGACAGCTATAGGCCTACAGCTTTCATTCTTAAAACATAACTTGGTTTTTAAATTAAAGAGGGATCATACACGAACAACATAACGGGTTAGGGTAACGTAACCCTATTACAACAGAGATCAACAACCTGGGCCTATGCACAGAATGCAGCTATTCAATACTCATTCTTGTTTAAGAATATGAGCATGTCTACTCAGGGGAGAGGCGGGTGCGGAGACGATTCACAATCAGGCCAGCTGTAGAGAAGACCCTCTCAGCTGGAATTTGGGCATAAGATGAGGTTTGAGTCTGCGTGATCTGCGTGTAGGGAGGGGCAGCAGCCATATCATTAGCTAGAACTAGCTAGATCTGATGGATTTGGACATAAACGCGAGTGAAGTATAACCGGACGCGAGAGAGAGATCAGCACCAGCAGCTCTGCCCTCTGTGAGGGACCGGTGAGCGGAGCAAAACACACCTTTAGACCTAACACACTTAGCCATAGCACTGTCGTACACATTGAATTATTCCATTTGATCATATGTAATCAACTTAGGCACCCCTCCCAAAAAAAAAATATATATATATATATATTCATAACTCATATTCTCATATTCGAATACCTGAATAATTTCGAATATTCGATGAATCTTTCCCATCCCTATCGCATGCAGCAGCACAGTAAAAGGACATGTTGTTGTTTTTTAAGCTTACTTCTCTTAGGTGATCTGTGTTTGCCTTTCCCCTTTGTTTGGCCTCTAGATAACCCTGTGACGTAATTATGACTTCAGCAGTAAAAGGGTGTATGGTAACTAACCTTTAGACTAATTCAAATGTAAGTTGTAACTGGGTTGCCCATGGGTAACTTTTTTGTGGTGATAATATTTATACTTCATGATGACACTTTTCAATTAAATTCTAAGATTATAAGTGTGTTGTTCCTTTGTAAAAAAAGGCAGGCAATATGTTCTGGATACCTCCCTTTTGAGGTGAATTCTTTACAAGTCATTCTCAATGTCAAGCCTGTTTATCAAGTCTGTCGACTCCTGTGAACAGGTTATAAACAGGAAACCAGTGTTGCAACACACCTACGGATGTGTACTCCTTCATATGAACTGTGTCACTCTACTTTCTACTATCTACTTTTCAGGTTCGGTAATCATACTGTCTTTAAAAGTGTTACTTTTTCACCACAATCCATAGAAGCCATGTTAAGTCCTTGTCTTGAAGAAGGACTTGAAACTGAAAATGCTTACAGTCAGCAAATATTTCAAATCAACGCTCAACACAAGTCAAACGCTTTTGTGTTGTACATTTCCTGTAAATCAGCTAGTGTCTGGTTCTTATACATGATTTCCAAAAGCAGAAGCTTTTACATCTTTAAAGAATGGAAGAAAGAGACGATAAACAAATACTCACTTTGTGCCACGGTGAATGTGACAGACAGCAAGATGACCCAGCCGGCTGCTGTCATTGTCCTTGTGTGTGGATAAAGACAGGATACATTTCATTAAAGTCCCCTTTGATTTCTCAGACATTATGTTTTCAGCCACTCTGACGCTCTGCATAAGACAAGATTTCTTGGCACATTTCCTGACGGGCCACTGACTTGAACAACTTCCAATAAAGGGAAGTGAGAGGTGTCGTTTACTGCTCACACAAGGAAGGCGGGCCAAAACACTCCCAGTAAAATCCCAGGAAGTTCCACTGACAGGAGTGGGTGTGGAAAAGGTCAAAGATTTAAAGGAGCTCTCTCTTTCTTGGTCTACCTCTTTTCAAACCATCTCATACTATTGATCTACATTTTCTTTCTATTTTAATGACCAGGTTCAACTGGTTTTGTCATTTTTTTTAAAGCAATTCCAAATATGCAGTGCGGTCCTTTCTTATACTGCTGCTGAGACATGGACTTACTCGGATATTTATATTTAGCCTGGAGGAAATGGCAATCTGGGTAAGGTATGACTTATTTGTCTTTTGTGCTGTACTTTTAAAATAAATCTTACAGTCCATAAGCAGGTATGCTCACATACCGAGTTATTTTATGTCACCTTTTAATTGCACATTTAATCCTGGAAAGGTAATGATTATTTTATGGTCAATAGATAACAATTGGGTACTTTAAAGGTTGTTAATTGTAGGATATTTTATAATAACTAGTTTTCCCCCTGACACTGACATATCAGAGCATATATAATATAGTTATCCAAGTTAATTTGCAACACAATGATTCAATGAGTCAATAGGAAGTCAGTTTATCGGAAAATGCATACAAATATTAAACTGTGTATTTGAGTTGCCAAAAATGAATCAAAAATGTTATTGTAATCGCAATATGTTCTAGTGCAGTATTCAAATTCATTCAATAAATAGTTTTGTATAGATCCAAAAAACTAACACCAGTGGTGTAAAGTTACTAAGTACATTTACTGATATAATGTACTTAAGTAAACTTTGTAGGTACTTGTACTTTACTTGAGTATTTACATGTTATGCTACTTTGTACTTCTACTCCACTACAATTCAGAGGTAAGTGATGTACTTTTACTCCACTACATGTATTTAATACCTTTTACTTTACTTTACAGATGTGGATGAATGATGTGAAATATAATCAAGTCTTAAATCAGACTTTAGTTCCACCTGGAGTAAATCCACAAGCTACCCTGCAGTATACAAAGTCATTCAAACTAGCTGCACCTTTACCAGCTTTGAGAACACTTTCATGATCAATCATTATAAAACATATCATATATATATTATTCTGAAATGGACCAATCTGCACAATGACTACTTTTACTGTCGCTACTTTAACTATATTTTGATGATAATACTTTTCTACTTTTACTTGAGTAACATTTTGAATGCAGGACTTTTACTGTAACAGAGTATTCCTACACTCTGGTACTTCTACTTTTACTCAAGTACAAGATCTGAGTACTTTTACTTTTACTCAAGTACAAGATCTGAGTACTTCTACTTTTACTCAAGTACAAGATCTGAGTACTTCTACTTTTACTCAAGTACAAGATCTGAGTACTTCTCCCACCTCTGACTAATGCCATGATGGTTTTGATAAACCTTTTTAGCGATAATGTGAATAATCGTTTTTAAATAATCATTACCTCATCAGAATTCTTTTTCAAATCTTGCTGCCTTACTCTGTATATATACTTATACTGCATATGTATAAATATATATATTGGACCAAGAATTATATTGCAGAAATTTTGTTGAGTTGACCATTGGTACTTTCACAAATTATTTACACAAGAAGATTTTTATAAATAATCATCAGTAATGTTGATATTATGAATAATAAAAAAGTCTGGTAAGTCCAGAAAATAACATCACATTTACTGTAATGCAGCCTTTAACTCCAGGAATGGTCTATATTTATTCCTCGTTACAATATAACGCTATCCAAAATCTAAGCGGATACTGAGTCTCAATAATGATATCGTATATTTCCAAGCACTAATAAAAAAGAACATACTTTTTGATTATAACTTACCAGGCAGAGTTGTAGCTCAAAGACGGCTCCTTCTTACTAACCTTCTTCAGAGCTACTGGGCTTTCCCTCCTCTAGACTGCACATCATATCAAACTGTTCCTCCAACCCCTGCATTATATTTCCACCCTACATCAAAAACGTACCACTCGTTTTGCATTTTATTCGCACCACAAAAGTTTTATCCCCAGCAGAAATAGAGCTCAAATATAGGCCATCAGACCTCAATTGCTTCAGTTATGAAAGTGTCAATTGCATGTTTACCTAAAGCAATAAAGACATCGTTTATCATTGTACAAGGCATACCTGTTAGAGAGAGAAACTCATAAGATATAGATCACTTTTTCTTATTCAAGCTATCATGGATTTTGTTAAATTCTCCACATCTCTTTCCTGATACTTCAAGTGAATCCATCATAAACTTTTGTCAAGTTTAGAAAACATTACATTGCATTAAAACAAAAAAGCCATGATTCCAGAGACCTGCCCACCAGTAACCCTTAAAACGTGAGAAATTACTTCATTCAGAGTATCCTTTTCATATCTAGGTTTGCTGTTTCTTTGCTTTGTTGATTTTATTTCTTCATATCATTTATACAAAAAACAGAAAGCTATGACACCTTGGATCAACAGTGGTATCAGTGTTTCCCCTAGGATGGAGTCATAGCAGCGGTGCTAAGGCCCAGCAAAATGTGAGAGCGGAGCGCGTGGCATTTTTCAGTGTGTGCGCGTGCGAAGTGCGCCCCGCCAATATGTTTCTATGTGTCTGCCAGCACAAGAAAGGCTCTTGAGGCCTAGTACATACAGTGGCAATGTCTCAAGATTTAGCAAAATACACCTTTATTGAACATACAGTAACACAAATACTACAAATCCACATAACAAACAATCAAAAATCAAAAAGGGTCGCCACTTATTATTAGAGATGTCCCGATCCGATCACGTGATCGGGGATCGGAGCCGATCACGTGATTTTCAAAAGATCGGAATCGGGAGAAAAAAATCGGGGATCGGGAATATTTTTTTTTTTTTTTTTTTTTTTTTATAAAATATTTTTATTTGATTTAATGTTACAAAACAAAAATGACCATGTTCACGTCTTAAAGTCATCCTGAGGCCTTAGTTTTGGTTTAAAATTACACAACATCATGTATGTGTTGCTTCTTTTGGGCTTGTTTTCATAGACCTGGTTGCTTATTTCTCTCAAATCTGGCAACAGAGTGGGCAGGGCGCAGTGTCTAATAGTAGCAGTAAGCTAACAAGAGGCTACGTTCAGCTGGTGACTCGGGAGTCGGGACAGAGAAAATGTCAGGAGTTTGGAAGTATTATAAAATTGAAAGCGAAGGCAGTGTAACAGCCAGATGCAATGTTTGCAAGGCGGAGGTTCCCCGTGGTGGAAAGAACAGAGCTACGTTCAACACGACCAATCTAATACGCCACCTGAGAAACAAACACCAACAACAACACGACGAGTACACAGCGGCCACTCAGGTAACGGCACTGAAACAACCAACACTTTCAGAGACTTTTAAAAGGAAAGAGAAGCTGCCCCAGAACAGTGAAAAGGCCAAAAAAATAACAGCCAAGATAGCTGAATTCATCGCGTTGGATGACCAGCCGTTATCTGTTACCTTTTTTTTCTCTTAATACATTGCATAAAGATCGGATCGGGAAAAATCGGTATCGGCAGATTGTCAAAATCAAATGATCGGAATCGGATCGGGAGCAAAAAAAGGTGATCGGGACATCCCTACTTATTATTATTTTAATAAAAGTTTTTTTTTTGGTACCTGGCTGGCGCCCCCTAGCAGCTGCGCCGCCGCTATTTGTATAGGGGAAACACTGGGTATCTTTAAAGGCAGGACCAGCTTTTAGTGAAGCTAACAACTATGTATGACAATCCTACACTGTATATAATAAGTGGACATGTTCACCGTCAGTTCACCTAATGGATTTATGGACTGCAGTTTTGAAGCCTTGACTTTGGCATTTTGGCTGTCACCATCTTGTTTTTTTACATGATAGGGACAACTGCTCAACAGCGCTGAATAAAACCTCATGTAAAGTTATCACCCAACACCTGAAATAAGTAGCTGTGGGCTTGAACATGTGGATCACACAAACAACGTCAACATGTAAGAAGCCTTCCACATACGTTCTCTTTACAAAATGTCCATTTATTGACAACACAGTCAAGCTCCTATATGCTTTGCATTCTGCTTCGAACAGTTTAACATTACTGCATCAAATGTAACTTTTTTATAAATAAATCAATGTTTGTTTTTTGTTTCTTTTTACATATTTACATTTGTCCTCATACATCTGTACATTTTACAGTGAAACAAGATCATTTCGATATATCAGTCCTTTGAACCACATTATTCAAGTACATTTACAGATGCTGGTGAACTCCGACACTGACAATCTTCAAGGCAAATGATGCGCTTGAGGAATTTTTACTCAATACAACTTTTGTTATAAGTTACTCTGGTGATAGTTGCAGTAATGCCGTGTTCCCACTGCTACTAAACACAACTTGCTATTGTTTGGTCTTCCATTTGGAAAAGTTGCGGAGAGTACCAGGTACTTATGGTGCGTTCAAGTTGTACTGGGAAGTGGGAGTATCCGTGTTCACAGTCAGAAATTTCCACTGAAACGCCCCCTGAGGTTGGACTTCCTACCTTGGAAACTCGGAGATACCTCAATATACCTGAGATCCTCTTTGATAAATAATATTTTTAGCTCTTCTGTATTATTTGTGTCACATTAAATCAACTGTACATTTGGTACTGCTCATCTTCTATCTGTGAATATGCTGCTACGATGTTTGTGTTGACAAAATACAACAAAAAAGAGTAGTTACATCAAGGCAAACAACTTTCCGTCCATCTTTTCCGACATGTGCGACTGGAACGCAGTCGACTCAGATGTGACGTCACTCCCAGTCCCGACCTCCAACTTCCAATGGAAAGGGAACGCAGCGTTATATTCGCACCACCTTCCTAGCGTGATGAGCCGATACTAGAAGGTGACGTTAAAACACTGCAGACCACAGACCGGGCCGAAATAATCGTCCCTTAGCGTGGCATTAAGGTATATCGTCGGCGAATCGCAGACGTTCCTTTTTGTTTGCCAATTACTAAGAGTATTTTATCTGTAGCAGAAAAATACTGGGTACCAAAAGTTGGAGTCGAGCACTGCTAAAGAGTACCTTTTGGTTCTCAGCATGTATCCTCAGCTTGTTGTGACAACACAGCATTTCTTAATTGTCTCTCTGTGAGAGGATCAATACACATTTACATTGGAATCGAGATACTCTCATGACCTCATCACACGTTCAGCAGGGTCGCTTTCTCGGGGCACATCGCCCTCTTGCCCTTTACCGGCATATGGTACCTCATCTCCTTCCAAAACCTGGAGGAAGGGGAGAGGGATTGCGATAACTGTCCACCTTTCTCCTCGTCCTCTTTCGTCCTCATACATGTCCTCCATCTTCGCGCCCTGCTCTGGTTCTTCCACCAACACACGGCGCCCTGCTTCTTCCTCAGGTGACGCACCGACTCTGGGAAGAGAGCCAGCTGAGCAGGGGTGATCTCTTCCAGCTCCACCAGAATCACCTGTAAGGCAGTGCAGGAATTATAAATCAGAGGGCTTTTTTGAGCATGTGGCCAACAGCTAAACATTTCTGAAATGGCGCAATGGTGGTTCTAGACCAACTTTACTGGGGGGGCCGTGCTGGGGCCAGTTATTGAACAAAGACAGTGTTCAAGATTTAAAATTCTTCAGTTTAGTATAAAGTCATAGCGCACAAAAAAACATAAAATACAATTATTGTTTTTTGTATTAATAACATCATTTTGTGTCAATGACTTAGTTTTCAATTTTTTTTATTACATTACTGAGGAAAGAAAATATATAGGGGGGTCAGTTACTCTTTAAAACAGCTGGTAGTTATGGGTACTTTTTACTTAAGTATATTTCGAAGCCCATACTTACTTTTACTTGTGTAAAGAAGTTTAGTCAGTACTTCTACTTTTACCAGAGTATTTTTTAAACATGAGTATGCATACTTCTACTTGAGTAAAGGATGTGTGTACTTTTGCCATCTCTGCCCAATCACCCTGAATCTCCCTACACAAAGATTAAAAGTCTGCTTCCTTACCTTGAGAGATCCCTCCAGCAGAGACCTGTGCATCGCTGCCAGACGCTCCAGCTGCTGTCTTGAGTCTGGATAGTTTTCTTCACCGCCATCGAAACTCATGTTGCTGCTGTGGTCACTTTCCTTCTTGCTTTCGCTGTTTTCGGTGCTATCCCTGCTATCACTGCTCTTCGTGATGTTGTTGTTGTTGCTACTGATACTGCTTGTGAGTCTTTTTCTCATGAAAGTGGAGGCGGTGTAGAGCAGGAGGAGGCGGCGGCTGGCTTGAATGTTCTCTTCCACCGAGTCCACTATGGCTGCAGGGAGGAAAATACAGTGATATTAGTTTAAACAAAAGAGTTTAATAGATAATGATCCCCAACGTAGCTACTCATAAAACTCATAACCTGACCTGTGGTAGTACAAGATAGATCTGAGAGATGATAAGCAGGCTAACTAAGCAGAAACTAACCTTTTTTTATATAAAAGCATGTGTATCGGACTAACCTATAATCACTTAGCCTTCTTGTGATTGATCCAAATGTTACTTCTTAAAGGTAGGGTAAGTTTGAGAAACCGGCTCGAGATACACTTTTTGTTATATTCCATGGAATGCTCTTAACATCCCGATAGCAATGAATATCTTAAGTGCTTTGACAAAAAATCCATTAAAAAATGTCATCTGTGGAAGCTGTAGTACTGTAAAAAGTACGACCAATCATTTTAGCCGGCCCGGCTAAAATAACTGGATGGCCTACCTGCCTGTCAGCATTCCATCGGGGCACAAACTTATCTCGTGCCCTCATTGGTCATGTGCGCGTTCGTGTGTGTTGGAGGAGGGGCTCTATAAGGAAGTGGCAGATTTTCTCCGGTTGTGTATTTTCAAATTCTAGCGATCTCGAGC